CCTGCTATGCCACTGAGAAGTACTACGAGGACAAAAACAAACAAATTCAGTGTCACAGATAAATAAGGGAGAAATGATTGAGGCTTATCGTAAAAAATAAATAAAATGCCAATAACACAAATTGTAAGGACTACTATTACTAATACTTTTCAGAAAGCCAGGGAGTAGTCTGCTTCTAATTTCGTTCAATAGAAGCCTCGAGCAGCCGAAGACAGATATGAAAAGCAGTTTCTTCCCAAACTGTTTCAAGCTTCTGGTTTGAATGGGGGAAAAGAAAGAAAAAAGGTTTATAATGATTTGAAAAACAGTTTTAAACTAATCCCTAAGATAAGGCTGTAATTAAATTAAATATCAAATTATTGGCAAACATTAACTGCTGCATATTGTTTTGGTTAAATATCTTATCAAAGAGCCCTTTTTGTGAGATGTTAATTTTAAAAGTTTTAGGTGAAAAAAACAACACTCTTTTTACCTGCTGAAACTTGGATCATTGGGATAATGAAGAAACAACCACTCATTCACTTTCCCCATTGCAGTGGTTATCAACAATAGCTGTGTATTACAATCACCAGGAAAATTTTATTTTCATTTATTTATTTTTTTAAATTGATTTTAGAGAGAGCAATGGGGATGGGCGGAAAGAAACATTCATGTGAGAGAGAAACATCCCTCGCTTGTCTCCTGTATGTGCCTGATCTCGTATGGAACCAGTAGCCTGGATATGTGCCCTGACTGGGAATTGAACCAGCCACCTTTTGGAACACAGGACAACACTCGAACCAATGGAGCCACACAGGCCAGGGCAACCATCAGGGAAACTTAAAAAAATATCCCATTGCCTCTGCCTCACCTTCAGAGATTCCAAATTTGTAATGGGGACTCTGCATCAGTATTTTTTTAATTCACCATGTGATTATTATATATAGTCATGACTGGGGCCCACTACCCTAAGAGGAAATAAACTATTGCTCCAGTAGTAAAATTATTAATCTAAACATAACCTATCAAAAATAATTAAGGGCGCATAAATCTATAAGGCATAAGAAAACTATTACATTATAAAATCATTTCTTTAAATAATGCTTATTATTTGTGCATCAAAAGTTAAAAAAATAGCATAATTATCAGTTAAAAAAATCAACCAGAAATGAAGATGACTTCTCTGAAACATTGTCAATGGCATTTGATCTACAAATTAAACACTTAGTGTTCTAATATATTTATGAATTACCAATAATATAATATGCATTTTATTTTAATAAATTATAAATAGAAATAATGATTAGACCATTATTATCCATCTGTCTATCTGTCTATCATCTATCTATCTATCTATCTATCTATCTATCAATCATCATCATCTCTCTACCTAAGTAATGTAGGAATATCTATCTACCTGAGATAGGCTAGAAATGAAGAGACAAAATGTTGTAATATTGGTTTAGATATGAAAATGATGCCGTGTCCTGGTCAGTTTTGTTCAGTGGTTAGAGCATCAGTCTGTCAACCAAAGGGTCTCAGCTTTGATTCCTAGTCAAGGGTATGTACTTGGGTTGCAGGTTGGATCCCCAGCCCTGGTTCAGGGCATGCGTCGGAAGCAACCAATGGATGTGTCTCTCTCACATCAATGTTTTCTCTCTCTCTTTCTCCCCTTCTCTTCCACCCTCCCTCCTTTCCAGTCTGTCTAAAAATAAATGGAAAAAATATCCTCTGGTGAGGATTAACAACAACAAAAAAATTATGTTATACTTCATTATCAGTAATAACATATTGTGTACTTTAATATTATAGACAAATACCTTGGTATCTTTACTTTTGATTATATTTAAATATATATAAATATAGCTAACTACACACATATAGTTGTATATTCTTTCATTAAATTATATAGGTATTCTCCCCAAGGCTTCACAATTAAATCATAGATTATATTTCCCTTAATCTTCAGAGGAACCCCAGGAGGTAACTTATTATTATCCACATTTTCCAAATGAGAAAAACATCTACAGTCACAAAGTTAGTAAGCCAGACATATTAGAAGCTTATTTCATATTGTCGGACATATCCATACAAAAATTCAATTTTTAAGGGTAGATAGACAGATGTGTACAACAGCTTATCTGAATACTGAGGATAAGCCTTTATCCTGCCTTAGAAACCTCTCTGCCAAAAAGTCCTGTGAAAACTGGGCAAAAATTCAGACATCCTTTAACTTGTCATATAGGTGTATCTTAGTTCTCAAAGATGTTATTAAAATATAGATTCCATGGTCCAACCCCAGACTTCTGAATTAGAATCCATGAGTGAGACCTAGAATTTGTCTATTAAATTTTTTTTAAAGCCCGCAGGTAATTCATATTAATTCCAAGTATGGAACACTAAATCTCACTGCTCATTGTTGAAATTTAGTGAGTTGGTGTCTCACCAGTGCTCCATAAAAAGGGGAGACAAAAGGCTGCATGGACGGAGCAGATATGTTCTCAGTTTCCTTTTTCAGAGGATAAGAGGTTCAAGACCTAAGTCACCATCTTCTGCTCTACTTCCTAATGAATCCGTTTCCGTGTGTGAAAAAAATATTTTTAAGTTTTCTTGAAAATATCTCTGTGTTATTACTACCTACAAAATATTACAACTTGATTTTACCTCCATTGGTCAATTCTACAGTGTATATGCCATAAATAAACTTAAAAATCAGAAATAGTGAAAACAAATATTGTATACTATTTTAAAAAGAGAAATTCCGCAAACTCATGATATGACTGTGTTGTATTACTAGTAATCATATAACATCCAATGCAAAGTTCAATTAGTAGCCCTAGTTTTAAATTCAGTTCTAATAAGTAATATGATTAAACCCTGTTAGGGAAAAAGTTGAAACACTAATCCAATCACTAATCTGATCTTCAATGCTATAAAATGCAATGGCTGTCTACTTCCTTTGTACTAATGATGAGGCTAAATTATATATATATATGATATATATTACATATCATAATATATATACATACATACTTTTAAAAAATTTATTTACGTGTTCAATAATGCTATGGTCTGTTCAGTGAATGATGTTCTTCTGCCACTTGGTGGTGCTTGCCAGTTTCAGAATTTGTTTGCTGGTGGCACTGTAACACTAAGTACAAAGTAAGCTGAACAAAATCACAGCATTCCTATTGGAAAGGCTTTGCTTCCAACTGTTTAATAATTTAAAGAATCTCTGTGGAAGCAACTGCATTTGTTAACCAGTCACAACTGGTAATTAACTCCTTTGGAGTTTTAAGTTACTTGGGGCAAAATGTCTTAGGAAGAGTACATTTTACTAGAAAGCATGCCAAAAATTTACTTAGCAGAGAATTCAATAACAGTTTTACTCTGCTAAGAGGTTCTGTAAAATTCTCCTTAGATAGACAAGTACTGAAATTTAGCAGGTACTGTTTCATTATCATAATCACTCCATAAACACTTTTAAGGACTTTGCCTTTAGTTTCAAGCATGACTTATTTTTATAAGCCTGATTAATTACCATACCAGCCTTGCTTGCTAAGGAAAATGACATGTTCTCACTCTGAACTGAGGAGTTGTTAAATCTTGATTCGCATTAACTGTATACTTACTTATGTTGCTATCTCTGCTGAAAGAGGGCAGTGAAAGACATCTCTGATTTCTTCCTCTCTCTCTTTTCCAATATTGGCTGGCAGCTCTATCTAATGGGCATTCTGTTTCCTTAAAGAATTTAGCTGTGCTGTCTAGAAGCCGATTTTCTTATGCCTACAACGTCTGGTCAAATTGATCTGTTTTAATGGAGTCTTCTCAGTGAGGAGCGAGATGCCACCGACTAGAATGCTGGGATCTGCTGCTTAATTGCCAGGAGTGAGAGACACTGAGATTCAGAAATCTTTGGAGGTGGGCGGGGAGGGGGGCAATCACCTGGCGGAGGAGGAGATTTAAGATAAAGAAATGGGTTTCACACTAGAAAAAATGAGATTTCTTTGAAGCACTGAGGCAAGATCACATCTCTCAGAGGAGAAGTTAAAAAGCAAGGAAGTGGAAGGAGGTTGGAGGTTAAAGTACTTAAAAGGATAGCTCGGGTACAATTTGTTTTTTTCTGGCGGTGCCTGCAAAGGATAGATAGTTCCTGTTTTCAAAGTGCATTGGTGCCTCTTTTAAGTGACTGGTGATGGACGCGAATTGCCCGTGAGATGTTATCAAACAATGATCTTCTAAATTCAGGTGACAGAAGGAGAGAGAGAATGGCTAGATTTTAAAAAGAAGAAGAAGAAGAGATGGCGAAGGAAGGAAGGAAGGAAGGAAGGAAGGAAGGAAGGAAGGAAGGAAGGAAGGAAGGAAGGAAGGAAGGAAGGAAGGAAAGAATAGAGAGGGAGGGTGCAGGGAGAGAAGAAAAAACAATCCTGAACCACTGAATGATCACATAGAGAGAGAAAAAAAAAAAAAAAAAAAAAAAACCTCATCCAAAACACTGTCACTACAATAACGAACGACCCGGGTCAAGAGAGAAAGATGCTCTTCTCTATCCGTGTCCCAGGAAGCTGTGGGTCCGGTTACTAGGGACTAAAATACCATTAAAGAGTGTGTCTAACTGCGTGAAGAATGCAGCAGGCAGAAGGCGGGTCCCTCTACGCCGTTTGCCCAGCGCTGGCTGTAGCGAAAGAAAGAAAGGCGCAGAGCGAGACACTCCTGCCAAGTTGGACCTTCTTGCCTAGCCCAGGTCACAGGCGACCGGGCCCCAGACCCGCGTAAAGCTCCCAGGGCCACTACCCGGGCCGCCGGTCCAGCTGAGCAGCTCTTCTCGGATGCTGCTTCCCGGAAGGATGCGCCTGGCAACACACCCGTTGCTGATGCAGAGGAGCCTTCCCTTCCTCTCTCTGACCACTTGTCCCGACCAAATCTGACCTTCCAAACACATTTGCCCGCATCTCTCAGGCATCCATCTCCGGGCCGGAGATGGACGTGGGATGGGGAGGGCTTCAAACCTTCAGCTCCCCGGGCTGGGTCGGGCTTTGCAGGGGCGATGATAGGCAGAAGAGAGAAAAGGAAGAGGAGCGAGCCTTGAAGGCTGGTTGAGCCAGCTTGGCGAGCAGCCTCAGGGTCTCAGGTTACTGTGGGAACTGCTGCAGCTTCCAGGCCGGCCAAAGCCGTTGTCACCTCACCACCTTTCACCCTCTCTGGCTCCCTGCTTGCTACTCCTTAGAGAAATGTCCCCGGGTTCTCCGCGGCGTATTCCCAGCCTGTATCCGGTTACAGCCAGGCGGCGCGCTCCCGCACGCCGGAGCGCCGGGCGCCAGCAGGACGCCCTCTCCTCTGCGCCCGCTTTCCGCTCGCTGCTCTGCTGCTACCACTCCTCCGCCACCTCCGCCCTCACTAACTCCAGCTCCGGGAGACGCCACCCAGCCACGGCCAGCGCTCCCAGCCGGCGCTCACGCACGAAAGTGGGGCGCTACAGCCGACCTAGCGCTCGGTATGGGGACGAGAGTGAAAAGACAGGTGGTATACTATAGAGATGTGGGACTCACCCACGCAGACGCCTGCGATTTTTACTTGAGCCCTCCCTGACTAGCCCCATTCGGGCCAGCGCCTGGCAAGCCAGCCCATCTGTGGCATCCGCCGTCGCCTCCTCCTTGCACCTCCTCGCCGACCCCTCCCTCCCGGGACCTGCATCCCGCTCCGCCAATCAGCGCCCGTCTGCCTCTTCCCACGTGATCCCGGGCGGGCTAAGGACCTGCTGCTTCCCAAACGCCAGAGGGATGCGGGCGGCAGAGCGCGAGAGGCGGCTGCTTGGCTGCGGGGCGTTTTGACTTTTCCTCCACCCTGCCTCCTTGGGCTCCTCTCCTCTAGCCCTGGACTCCGGTCTTCTGCTCCCCCGGCTTTCCGGAGCCCCTCCCTTATGGCAGTAGCTTTCCGCGTCTTCGGCGTAGCTTCTCAGCGGACGACCCTCTCGCTGCCAGAGCTGAGCTGGGTCACTGGATGTTGCTGAAACTCTCGAGATCATGCGCGGGGTTGGCTGCTGCTTCGCCGTCAGGTGCCACTGCCACCGCCGCTTCTGCTGCCGCCGTCCGCGGGATGCTCAGTAGCCTGCTGCCGGGCCCCCGCGATAGTGTGTTCTTCGGAAGCCGTTTGCTGCTGCAGAGTTGCGCGAACTAGTCATGGTGCTGTGGGAGTCCCCGCGGCAGTGCAGCAGCTGGACACTTTGCGAGGGCTTTTGCTGGCTGCTGCTGCTGCCGGTCATGCTACTCATCATAGCCCGCCCGGTGAAGCTTGCGGCTTTCCCTACCTCCTTAAGTGACTGCCAAACGCCCACCGGCTGGAACTGCTCTGGTAAGTCTGGAACCCCGACCTCCGAACCCTCCACCCCGCAGAGAAAACGCGCCTTTCCAGCACAGACCAGACTACATTAGCGCATCTCCCCAGCCCCTCAACTCCTCTGCCCCCAATCCCTGAGACGACTGACCTCTACCCGGAGGAGCCCAGAGAACTGTTCCAGGCCGCTAGGGAAGGCGGGGGCGGGGGAGGGGTCTGGGTGGGCAGAAAGTGCAGGTGTGGGAACCTTTGCATCCTTGCAGTTAAATTAGAACGGCAAAGATTTTGAGAAACATTAAACGGGATGGTTTTGTGGACTCACTGAAAAGAGCACCAATCCTTGGGGAAACACTAAAACAGAATCTTTAACATTATTAAAGAAAAAAGTCTAGCTAGAAATAACTTTATGAGAAAGAACGAGCGAGAAAGCAATAAATCAAATGGTGACTGAAGGGGAAACACTGATTCCTGGCAAAAGTGCAATGAGGGTGCACTGGTCTTGCATTCAAGACCAGGTCACGCAGATTCTAAAGGAGCTTGGGTTTTAAGAGATTCGATTTATTTCTCTTCCTCCCTTCCTCCCTTCTTCCCTCCCTCCCTCTTTCTCTCTCTCTCTCTCTCTCTCTCTCTCTCTCTCTCTCTCTCTCTCTCTCTCTCTCTCTCTCCTTGGCTGCAAAAGACATTGTTTTGGCAGCCCACAGATGCCTCACACTTGCCTCCACAAGCTCCTAGATCAAGGGAAGTTGAGAGAAGAATCATTCATAGATCTCCCAGGCCGGGGGTGGGCAAGACCGACCTGGCCTGGCTCACTCGCAACCGTGCGGAGAACCGAACCTACCCCGTTGGGCGCTGACTCCTCCATTTCTGAGCAGACTTCCTTGGAGTGGATTAGTCGCTCTTCCTTCTCCCTTGGGTCCCTTCAGACTCTGAACGCCAGAGCTTGGCAGGCTTGGCTTTGCTAAAGCCTCCTAAAGAAGTAAGGCCCGCGGATGGAAGTTGCTGCACTCTGAGCTGGCTTCGCATTTCAGTCTGACAGCCCTTAGTATACCGGGCGGGATTGTGGTGTGATTTCATTGGCATTTTAAACTCCATTAACACGCCTGGGTATTGTCTTCTAGGTATGGTCTGTTCTAGTTTTAGCAAGTGTGTATGTCATTTTTCACATTCTGTAAATATGATCCTTCTGTAGTTAAATTTGGCTGTACATAAAGTGGCTTTCAAAGGATGTATGTGAACTGAAGTGTATGTAACTTTGGTGAGGAGGTAGTGACCAACTGTAACTTGTAGGATGAAAGAATATGTAGTCCTGGCTTGTTAGTGATGTAAATTCCACGAAGAAAATCATTAAGCATTATTGTACTCTGTGCTTATTAAATACAAGATTTGCAACCCTATTAGAGTTGGGTCAATAGATTGCCTTTGTTCTGTTTTTAACAATATCTACATTTAGCATTTCTAGAAAACTCAACATGTTTTCTATAACTTACTTGTAGTTCACGTGTGCATGTATGTTATTTCAGACAGGCTAATTTCCACTTAGCAGATACCTAAACACTTTTTTGGGTACTTTACCATAGGAATATTAAACAAGCTGCAAAATCAATTGTTTGAAATGTTGCTAGCTTTGTAGCCCAACATGACTGGTTTGTTTCATCCCTAACTATAGTATTGTCTTAGAAAATAATTAACTTGAATGTGAAATTGAGGTTGGCAATGAAAAAATTCATTATTAGCCAGATATCTTAAAGGGATCTGCAGAAACTAAAGAGAATGGACTGGTTTTCCAGGCAGATTGTCAAGAACCTGGTACCCCCACCGTCCCACCCCTGTTAACTTATAAGTGATCAATCTTCATTTGAGCCAGACAGACCATCACAGAAAGCACTGTGCCTGTTTATCTTTGTTATTGGGGCTTTGTTTCCTCTTTGTCTGGAGAAATTCCAAATAAAGGGCTGTTTCAGACCATAAAGAAAAAAAATGATTAAACATGGAGAAATGGAAAATATGGCATTCGGAGACCATCACCAGTTCTTTTTTTTTTTTTTTTTAAATTTGGAGTGTGTGGGTCATAAACTATAGTCCACTTAATGAGAAAACAATAAGGAAGCTAGGAAGCAAGTGTTGAACATTCAGCACTGCTAGCATTAACCCAAGCTAAAATAAAAGAACACTACAAAAAAGGATATTAAAAGAGAATTGACTAGAAAGAAAGTGTGAAAAAAGAAACAAATATTGATTAATTAACTAGATTTTTTTTAAAGGTTATCAGTAGAATGACCTTGTAATACAGCTGTGGTTGTCAGAATTAAAATTTAGGGTAATTCTTTTAAAGCTTCAAGATACCACTATTTTTGTTATAGTCTCTAACATTCTTTAATGACTAGAGTGTTCTCTTTAAATTTGAGGTTATGATGACAGAGAAAATGATCTCTTCCTCTGTGACACCAACACCTGTAAATTTGATGGGGAATGTTTAAGAATTGGAGACACTGTGACTTGCGTCTGTCAGTTCAAGGTAAGAAGTCTGATATTTGCATTTATTAATGAGACTACAAAGCAAAGATCTCCCTTTACAACCCATCACTTGGCAATTTATAGCTATGCAAGCTAAAAGGAAAGCTGGCACCAAGCAAAAGTACTGATGAGAGAGCCAACTGATGTCAAAAAGGCATAGTTTTTTTGAGAAATGCATAGCCAGTTATAAATGCTATAGAAGTAGAAAGTTTCAGGTTGTTCCTTTGGTGTGTCAAAGGAAAATTATGTTTCTGTGTCTCTTCTAGCATGCATTTTATGTCAACTATTGGGGACATGGTCAATAGCAAGTGTATCAGAAGTGTAGATTTTGTACTTTAGTTCCTTTTTTAAATAAATTATTTAATTTTATTTTTTCCATCACCCTTTATCCCCTATGTGCCTCCACCCACCCTACCCCCACCGCAATCACCACACTGTTGTCCATGTCCATGAATTCTTTCTGTCTCTTTTTTTTTCCTTTTTGCTCAATCCTCCCCCCCACCACACACACACACCCACACCCATACACACACCAGAGCTGTCTGCCTGCTCTCTGTCTATGAGTCTATCTCTATTTTGCTTGGTAGTTCAATTTCTTCATTACATTCTACATATGAGTGAAATCATATGTACCTGTCTTTCTCTGGCTTATTTCACTTATTGTTTCTTTTGATTGGGGCTATCAACTTTTGATCATATTGTTCTCTCTTTTAATGGTATTGGGTTTTATTATCCTGGTAATCTGGTTAAGTTTTTAAATGAACTCCTTTCCAATGTGACTTTAAAACTACTGTGCTACTTTTGGAACTCATGGAATTTTTAAATATATATCAGCACTTCATAGGTGCCATATTCAATTATAAATGAATCTCACAGAAATTCAAAAGAGCACAAATAGCCACAAGTGATTTCCGAAACATTAGAGAGATGTCCTTTGCCTCATGTTAAAAAAATAAAAATAAAAATAAAAAAGAGAGCTTATAGCACTGTTGCCATAAAACTAGATTATTAGTAACTATTAAAGATAGAACTGTTAATGTCGTTGGTATAGTCATCATCTAACAAATGCTTTCTACCGTGTAACTTATAAACCTTCATTTCTCTCAAAATGTTTACATAATCATATATACCTTCAACTATCATAGATGTTATATTAATGTCTTATATTCACCTTTGAATGTTACTGAATTACTTTAAATACACATGAATTCTAACATAAGGTTCAACCAGGAGATATGTGCATAAACAAAACTATATATGTGAGATCAGGAAAAACTTTTCCAAGATTGTATGCAAAACTAAAAAAAACAAAAAGGATATAGATCAAATAAAAACATCAAAGTCACATTCAGTTCCAAATATTTGTGATAGTATGTAAGATTTAGATTATGGATGAAATTTAAATATTTCAGATTAAATTCAATCTTCCTGTAAGAGAGATAAGAGAATTCACAATTAAATATAGTTTGAGTGGCTTATAGAGAAGGTAAAGGCTTCTTGGACATTATTTTCTTCTTTCTAAAAAAAGCAATAAAAGTGATACTGTAAAGCACACCACCTCCTGGTAGGTAAGTACTGCTATGACCATACTGTAATCTTTTAGACCATTCTATAGTGTTAGAAACATATTCTTGCATAGTTCATACACATGAGGCACCATCCTGTAAAGTTTCCAGCCACACTGAACAATGTAATCATGGTCTTTCAGTGAACTACATGAGAGTAATAAAGCATACGAACTTTCAATCCATACTTCCCCAAATGTTAACTAAAGGGAAAATAGAGTTGGATAAATCATTAACCAAAGGCTCACAGAATTTTGTGGATTTCTTCCGCTTTCAATGTGTGATTCCTATAAATTTGTTTCATTTTTATGACCAAGGGTAGACATAAGAAGTGAGCTTCATAAACAGTGTGAAATGGATCAAGAAGAATGTTTCTCAAATGCAGAGCCATAATTCCACTTTCTCGAAGAGGAAAAAAAGGAGTTCACACTATTCTAATTGCGTGCTTGCTGATAAAAGGAAATGTGCAATTTTCTTATTAAAGGAATGGTATTCAGATTTTAGGTTCCACAAAGGGTTTTGGTAAAACTTTTATCAACAAAGATATTTGTGTTTTTCGTGCATTGGTCAATCAGTTAAATTTGTCATGAATTTAAATAGTTATTGAGTGGAATAGATGAGCGAGGGAGGCATTGTAGGCAAGTTTGAATAAAAAACTAAAATGTAAATTTTCTTTTCTTAATGCCTGTAGCATTTTAAGTTTATTACTAGATTACTACTGCTATTAGTTTGTGCTTTACAATAGCTGTCAGTGTGTCAGGAGAAAATAAACATTTCCCTGGAGTGGAATATTTAAACTCTGCACATTACCACGAGCCTAGCATGACTGAATTAAATTGAAGATCAAAGAAAATGTACAAGTTGTAAAAAGAATAATAGATAGGCTATTTTAGGCTAAGAATATCTTGGGTTTGTCCTTTTCAATGAATTTGAGCATTTTTTTTGTTTGTTTGTTTTGTTTTGAGTTCCCTGGTATCTGATGAAAAGAAAGGTGTCCTAAAAATCTATTTTCCTGTGTACTATTCTGAACAACGTGAGGTCATAGTTCTTTTGTTCAAATAAGATATACACTATGATATTTTTGGCTGAGAGATGAATTTCAAAGAGAAATGGGTGTATGTGTGTATAACCTACAATGTTTTCAAATTTAAATATCATTGGAGCACCAAAGTGAACATATAGTTGCCTTTACCTCTTATTTTTATTTTATGTATGTATGTATGTATTAATTTATATTGAATTTACTGTGGTGACACTGGTTAGCAAAATTATACAGGTTTCAGGTACACAGTTCTACTATACATCATCTGTATACTCTAGTGTATGTTCACTGCCTCAGTTCAAGTCTCCATTCATCACCATTTATCCCCCCATACCCTCCTCCACCTCACCCACCTCCTCTCCTTCTCACCCCTGCAATTACCACACTGTTGTCCCTGTCTATGAGTTTTTTCTTTTTTGCTCAATCCCTCCACACCCCCCACACCCCATTCCCACTCCCCACCCGCAGCTAACAGCTTGCTCTCTGAAATAAGCCAGTCAGAGAAAAGATTTAACTCATATGTAGAATCTAATGAACAAAATGAACGAACAAGCAAAATAGAGACAGATTCATAGACATAAAGCCTTCACCTTTTTTCAAATTTAAAATAAATGTATTCTACCCTTCAAATGTATTAGTGTAGTCCCCTGTATCCTTGTGGGACTGAAACCAGGAGCAGCACTGAACTCTATACTCTGCCTTTTCCTATATATACATACCTATGACAGTTTAATTTATAAATTAGGCACACTGAGAAATTAACAGCAATAACTAGTAATAAAATCGAAAAACCAAATCATTTATTATAGTAAAAGTTATGTTAGTGTGTTTTCTAACATAAAATATCTTGTTGTGCTGTATTCACCTTATCACTTAAAGAGAGTACCTTCTGGCTTCTCTTTGGCACATCCAAATTGCCTCCATCACTACTCTTGCACTTTGAGGCCATTATTAAGTAAAATAAGGGTTATCTGAACACAAGCACTGTGATACCTAGACAGCTGATCTGATAACCAAGATAGCTACTAAGTGACTAATGGGCATGGAGACACTGGTCAAAGGGATGATTCACATCCCAGTGGGATGGAGCAAGTTGGTATGAGATTTTATCATACTATACAGTAAGGCACCCAATTTAAAAGTAACGAATCGTCAACAATAAAATAAATAAATAAATAAATAAATGTAACTGTTTATTTTGGGAATTTTCAATTTAATATTTTTGAACTGATGTTAACTACTGGTAACTGAAATCATGGATAAGGAGGGACTAATGAATTTCATTTTTTTCCCCACAACTGAGTGAGATAATTATTTTCTCTTTTTAAAGATGAGGAAGTTAGCCCTGGCCAGTTTGAGTCAGTGGTTTGAGTCAGAGTCTCAGTCCGCAGTCCAGAGAGACCCGGGTTTGGTTCCTGTAAGGGCATGCACCTCGGTTGCAGTTTGTCCCTGGCCCTGGTTGGGGTTGTGTGGGTGGCAACCCCTCGATGTGTCTCTCTCACGTCGATGTTTCTCTCTCTCTTCCTCCCTCTCTCCCTCCCACTATATCTGAAGATAAATGCAAAAATGTCCTCGGGTGAGGATAAAAAAGAAAAGATGAGTAAGTTAAGGCCCAGGACTATAAATAACTTACCATCGAGTATTGATCCTAAAGCTAGAACTGAGGTCCTTTGTCACTACATCTATATATTTTTCTAGGACATTATACATGCAAATAAAAATATCAGTAACAACTACAAAAGGACAAATTTATTGTGGAGAACTGTTCATATCAAAAGTAATACAACTGCTCTGGCTGATGTGGCTCTCAGTTGGTTGATCATCATTCCAAGCATGGAGAGGTCCTCAGTGATTCCTGGTCAGGTCGCATGCCCTGGTTGGGGGATCCATCTCCAGATCCCCAGTAGGGGGCGTGTAAGAGGCAGCCGATTGATGTTTCTCACTGTTTCTCTCCCTCTCCCTTCCTCTCTCTCTAAAATCCATAAAAACATAATTTTTAAAGAAAGTAGTACAACTAATTCTTAGGTGATGATATGAGTTCCAGAGATGGGGCCCAACCTCATGTATCCTACACTCCTATCTCTATACCAAATGGTGTGCTGGTAAATCTGGTAAATTATCTGTGGGGATAAAAATTTAGAGACAGTGGATGGATGGATGGATGGATGGATGGATGGATGGATGGATGGATGATGGATAGATGGATGAGCGGGCAAATGCATGGAAGGAAAAAAAAAGGAAGGGAGGAGTAGTTATATATAGCACTGGTCAAATAATGATCAAATATTACTTTTTAATGAAAAAATATAACAAAGCCATGTGTGTTCTGGGTATTATTTATTCAAATAGTAAATATTTTTATTGAATAAGCCATGCTTTAGATCTGCAATTATTCCACTTATTAGGACTGCATAAAAAGTCTTCCAGAACTTAGTGGCACAAAACAATAAACATTATTTTGCTCATGAATCTGTAATTAGACATGGCTTAATGGAAACAGCTCATCTTTGCTCTGCTTGGCGTTAGCTGAGGTAAGGGAGGGAACTGGAAGTTTTGGTCCTGTACTCATCTCAGAGTTTTCACTCTTATGTCTGACTGTCGGCTGGGAACCTTGGTCCTTTTCCATGTGAATCTCTCCGTGTGGGCTAGTTTGGGCTTCCTCACAGAACAGTGGCTGGGTTTCAAGGGCAAGCATCCAGAGAGAAAGAAAGCCAGGTAGAGACTGTATCCTTTAGTGACCTAGTCTTGGAAGTCAAAGAGTCACTTTCACCATAGCCACAGGCCTGTCCACTCTTAAAATCATAAAAACGTTTTCATATAAATAAATGTAGTCACAGAGAAGTAACAGCAGATACCTATGAAATGATCAGAGGATTGGGCCATAATGCAGGGGTTTTTGTTTTTTTTTTAATCTTTTTCTCCTTTGGAAGAGAAACATAGCATATTCTCAGTCATTATTCCTAAGCCTTTGACAACTGGGAATATAGCAGAATTCACTTAACATCTGTGGAGGACTTTCTACATGCCAGATTTCATGGAAGGTGAAGACAATATATAAAATAGAAGTTATGCATAGTTTCTAGATGCTGAAATCTCAGCTAAATGGAATCCTTATTAACCAAACAAGTAATCCTTCACATAAAAAGCTTCTCACATACATTTTTTGTTCATTTGTAGCCAAATGAATTCCATATATTCTGGAGTGTCAAGTCATTGAATCTATAAGTGTGGCCTGTAGCTGCTTTCTTAAGCAATGTGGACATTTTGGAACAAAATTATTCTACTAAAAAACACATATTTGGAAAATAAACTTAAGATTTTAAAACATCTTAGGAGGAATAGAATCTCTTTTTCCCTGAGAGGAAGTTTGTACAACACATACATTTATGGGTCTAACCATCTGGGCTTGAGTCTTGTTTCTTCTCGTACCAGCCAACTCTGTAGCCTTTAGCAAGTCACTTAAAATCTGAATATGTGCCTTCATCTGAAACTCAGCAGTATTATGATTACCACTAAACACTATTTCAAACAACTTGGCATATTTTAATGTAATAGTTAGCTTAATTTTATGCTAGGGTTATCCTGTTTTCCTTTATTTTTCTAATTTTAGACGTGCATGTTTTAGTGTTGATGTTAGATGGTGGTGACTCTGCTAGTTAAAATACATATCATGAAAGGCAAATCACTTTTATTTCTTTTTATAAATGAATATTGCAAAGTGTTTTAAAAACAGGACTCTGTTAATCCTCCTAAATGCCGCAGTTAACCATTTCAAATGGGGAAAACAGGCATAAACTTGTTAAATATCTCATTGCTGGGAGACGTAGGACCAGACTTCACTCTTGAGCGTTAATGATTTAGAGTATGTTTTCTCTGTGTACTATTCATGTTAATGAGTGCAAGTCATGGTACTAAAGGGCCAAAAACATCTTGCTGATAATCTACAGTTAAGCTCTTTTCAGCTCCATACAAATCTCTCTGTTGGCTGGTGCACGGAACTTGGTAGCTCTGTTTTTAGCACTGTTCACATTTGGCTGACTGCATCCTTCAGAAGTGGCATATGAGCACTTTATCAGCTTTTTCAATATTTTAAGATGCATATCAGCATTGTGTACTAGCACTTGACAGAGATAATAAATACCTCCCACACTTCACTCCCAGTCCACTCACTACATCTGAGCAATCTACAGAATTAGATGAGAAGGATAAATAAGGAAATTCAAGACACCAGAGAGAACAAAATGTGGACCTAAACAATCAACACACAAAGTGTTGTAACCAGGGTTGGAGACAGAGATTAAAAGGTAACCAGAGAATGCTAGGACCCGAGTATAAGAAGCTAACTAGTTCAACTAGTCTAGTCATCTGCACTAATTATGACTCTCTTCTGTCTACTGAAAGAATCAGCAAGTCTACTGACTATAATATGTTATCAAGTGTTTACTTCTTTATGGTTTTTCCTTCATGTGCTCAGATACCATTGTAGTATTAGTGAGTCCTCATAAATCCTCCCTGTATTCTCCTACTCCTAGTCCTGAACACACCACATTTGTCAAGCACTTTTCCATCTACCTGGACATGGTTCTGCCATGAGCACCAGCCCCATTGATTTGTTTTTCTTTAGCACTGCTCATTAGAAAATTCAACTCTTCACTGACATTTTGCTATTGCCTGTTTTCTTTAGTAGTGGTGAAGATGTTCGGTCTTATGGTTGGTCAATTTTCAGGTGTAGGCTAATATATGTATATATGGAAGGAAAGCATATGGAAAGCTGCCCTTATACATGTATCACCTGATCAGAAGTGAATTAGTTATTGAGTTGAAGATTCTCAATAGGAAAACAGTTCAATCAAAACAGTTTTTAAAATATTATCATGTAGACAGACAGAGTCTGGAAGAAATAGTATAACTGTGGCAAGGAATGATTGTACAGAGGGCTTCCAGAATGTCTAGGTTAGAAATTGTTGAAATAAAGATGGTTTATAAAATATGCAATATTTTAATTATTTAAATCATTTTAATGATATTTAATATCTAAATCACCATGTTAGCAATTATGGTGATGATAAAATTAGTATCATAAAACTTGGATTTACTATTGGGAGAAAAGTATATCATTGTTAGTTTAAAATTTTTATTTAACTTTTTCATTAATTGATACAAAGTAAGGCTCATAAAATGACTCTCATTTCAGAGAATATTGGCTTATACCATTTTAAATTGTTAGGATGATTAAGCCAATATTACATAAAGGCAAAGAGCAAGAGTTAAATGGTTGATTGGGAAGGAGAAAGTACAGATATTGTAAGGAAATAAAATAAAACATAAATCTCAGGTTTTTATCATCAGATTTTAACTTTATTGAGAATTTCCTCTTTTGTTACATAAATCCTTGAGTTGAATTTAACTTATGATAGAATTTTATGTTTATTACCATATATATTAAAACTTTCTTAGCCATCTCACTAGATCATTGGTTTATTGCAAAGTGTTATACATTTATGACACATTAAAAATCCAAATATTTTAATAGGAAGTAGAAGACAGCAGAGTGTTTTCACATACATATGTATACATGATTTGCTTTGCTCAGTCTTTGGCATAGGTGAGTATTTATAAATAATCATCTTCATCATTATATTTGTTATAATTGAACAATGAAGTGCATCTGTAGTAGTAATCATGAGATAATCACATCTCTGGCATAATTAGCAGGTATAGGCCACAGCCAAGTATCCCTAATGCCTTTGACTGTGATTATATTATGATGAGTATACCCGGTAGGATGCCTAATTTCCTTTGTAAAATGTGTACTTTTTATAAAACAACTCTTAAAAAAGAAAGTTCTGTTTATGAAATATATATTATCATATTTTTGAATAGTCAATAAAGTTTACATGTAGTTCAGTAGTTGCTTAATTTTTTTCTGCATTTTATTTCTCTCTACACTACATCTACATCAATATCTCATATATAATGATATGAGAAAAATTAAGTGGTAACTCAAATGTCTTTCCATTTATTTAGAAATTTATGAAGATTAAAACTCAATAGAAAAAAAAATATGCTAAAGAGTAACTGTATTTTCTGGCATTTCAGTTATATACTTTTGCTCTCCAAATATAGCTAGACATTACTTTCTTTTTAATGTCTTTGATATAGTAGCATGTTTTATTTTTCCCACCAAGCCAGATGGGCCATATATCAAGAAAACAGTATTAAATAATATTGATGTATTTGTTGCTATCTCTTTATAGTATTGCTTGTCTGATCATTTTGTTGGCATTGCCTGATCAATTTAGAAGTTTTTTGTTTTTGTTTTTGATTTTCCTATCTGAATCAAATGACTGGCTGGCTGACTTGACATTGCTTTTGTGTGTCTTTGAATGATTCCCATGCAAGGTCAAAGACTTATTGGATGTGATGAGGATCACTGAAAAGGAAGACAAGTGCTTTCTACTGTAAATGATTATTTCTACTCAAGGAGTGAGAGGCATGCAGACTCCAGTACTAACCATAGGCTTACATCTGTGTTCCCCAGTGCAACAATGACTACGTGCCTGTGTGTGGCTCCAATGGGGAGAGCTACCAGAACGAGTGTTACCTACGGCAAGCTGCCTGCAAACAGCAGAGTGAGATACTTGTGGTGTCTGAAGGATCATGTGCCACAGGTATGTATTTGATCCTGAAGGCTTCCTGAAACCTTATGAATGAATTCTGAATCCAAAACCCAGATAAATAACTCATATTATATATTGGCTAGGCAAGTCTCTTATTCCTTTATACAAAGTGTGCATTATTTTTATACTATGTCTCTTTGCATTTCAAATCACTTCTGGAAGTGAAACTCTACCATAGGATGCTGGTAGGTTTTAATAAATACGTTATTTAATGAAGTGCAGACAGTTGACTATTAGAAATGTAGATTGAGTACCCTGGTGTCAAATATGTAGAAACCTATCTATGCATGAATACATGTATCTGTTTGTTTGTTCTGAACAATAGCATTATCTGCAGGAGGGCAGCTTTGCAGATTTGGGTTTGGAAGTCAAGATGTGCCTAACCTCAGCAGCTCTACAAAATGCTCCTCTTAACCATTTAGTAGATTATTTTGAAGACTGCATTGGTGGTAGACATTACTTCTAATGATACCTGTCCTTTTCTGACACAGTCAGCCTGGGATTTCACAAAGCTATTTAGTTATAGTGACCAAAAATATTATATACAGAAAGTGAGAAGCCCGGGCTGGTGTGGCTCAGTTGGTTGGGCTTCGTGTCTGTGCATCAAGGGTTTGCTGGTTCGATTTTCAGTCAAGGCACATGCCTGGGTTGTGGGCTAGATCCCTGGAAGGGCTAGATCCCTTCTTCTCTCTCTAAAAATCAATAAAAAAAAAAATCTTAAGGAAAAAAACCTTAAAAAAAACAAACAACCTCAAGGAAAACAAAACCTAACTTGATAAAGCAGTGCTTTAAACTGAAGCTGTTTTCAAGTTAGCCTTGAGACATTAAAATCACATATATTAAAGAAACTTGAGTGTCCCATGATAGTTGTTCTTAATGGCAAATATGCATCTTTCTGGAAAGTCATAATTTCTGAGAAATTGGGTAAAATAAACATGTTCAGGAAAAAATAATATTGATGTAAAATATAAAATTCCTTCAAAGATACTAATTTAGAATAGTGCCAGGAAAAGTCAATTTTATTGAAAATTACCCCTTAGATAACAGGTATTTTCTACTCTTGGGAATTGTGTTAAAAGTTATGAGTATGTTGGCTGGGGTAGGGTGGTAAATGAGCGAAGAGAAAGTCTCATATTCTTTAAAAGATTGTCTAAAGCCTATTGTTAGAAATTGATAATGTTCTCAGCTGTATTGGTGACGACCAACGTTTCTAAGAATTAGCAGAAAAGTGTCAGTCCTCATAGACAGTAATGCAGGCTTTCTGGCTTTGGTTTCAGTGTTTTCCTCCTATGGGATTCTTTGCCTTACTGTGGGAATGTCCTGTCTAGGAGGGTGATGGGGAGGCAAGCCGGAACTGGGGCTCCACTTACTCCTTCTTTGCCAGAGCAAACAGATCATTGCTGCTCCATCTGTGATTGAAAGTGACAGCAACAAATGAGAGTTACTGGGTCATCTTCCCCAGTAGGAAAGGAGGAAGATCAGCATGCCACCTTCAGAGTAAGGATGGGTGAACTAGAAAGAAAGGCAAAGAACAAACAAATTATGAAGAATCAATCTGCCATACCTAATGAACAAAAAATGAAAAATAAGACTTTAGGACAAATGGGAAAAAAGAAACCTCTGACTCCCAGAAACCAGGAATGATGTAGGCAAGTACCGGAGAGTACTAGGAAAAGGATTTACGTATTCAAAATCATATAGAAATCTGTCTCTGACGATAGCCAAATGAGAATCAGTGAACAACACTCCTAATAAGAGCCATGAAGTTGTCATAATGGCTAACAATGTTTGGGAGCAAAATGTCTCTTACTTGCCAGCCTCAAAGTTCTTGTCAGCATATGTAATTGCATTTTTCTGATTCATTCAAATCTTTCCGTTCTAGTCCCTAATGTGTCCGTTATTATATATATATATATATATATATATATATATATACTTAACCAAGTAGAAAATTTAATCACAATTGAGTAATATATTCCTAACTCATTTTACAAACTTAGATTTCTTCAGGATTTAACTAATAAGCCAGTATTGTTGAATGCATCTTCCATTGACTTGTAAATCTAAAGGGTTTTGATCTGAATAATGATGGAGGGACCAAAGTAGCTTTGATTAACCAGGTCTGACTATAAATAAATTGGAGCTCTGACTTTTGGTCTAAAAGAAATTCTTATTCTTTTCTTTGTAGATTTTCCATTTATTTTTTAACATCGTTTGACACTGAGTGGAGGTGGCAAGTTGTGATCTCTAGGAATAAAAGGCTGTAAAAGATAAAACGTTATATTTATTGAATGAGTTTGTGAGCAAAAGTAGGTTTACAGTTGTGAATATGCAAAACACAATTAATAAAGCTACTGGAATAATCATAACTTGCATGTCTTTTTCCATATGAACAACTGTAAACCTACTTTTGTCAACCCCATATTTCATTGAACTTAAACGTTATTTGTTCTCCAAAAAATGGTTTTCTATTGGGCAGTCTGGTCATTAGCCTCACTGTCAATTTCACTTTTTTTGCCTTATAAAAAATGCATTGACGAGGAGCCCAAATTCAAGTCCCACATGACTTTTTTTCTTAGGTGTTTCTGTCTCACTAATAAGATTTTAGTAGGCTAGTTATCTCTTTTTGCCAAGATGACTCATCTTATAGTAGAGAAATCATTAAAGCTCTCCATCACTATTTCATAATGATGCCATGAATTTAAGTGACTAAAAAATTTATTTACTCTTTGTTTTCTTAATACTCAATATGGGTTAAATCAAATGCAGCTTGTCTTAAGAACCATACTGCATGAATTTTTGGAACAATATATGGGAAATACAAGCCAACATCTTATTGCCATTTTCTTGATTTTCCCCAGCAATGTTTATTTATTAGAAAATCTATAGATGAATAGGCAAGATATTTACTCAAAATGTTAATTATTATGTTCCAGACACAGTGTTAAACATTTAAAATATGTTATTGCATAGTAAGCCTAAAAATAGCCCAATAAGATACACATTACTATAGCCATTCAGCAGAGGATGAATAAACTCGGGAAGGTTCAATAACATTCCTTATGTCATTCAATGAGTAATGTTCTCATGTTTGGTGCTTGGAATCCTTAAGCTTTGATTCATTTCCTCTTATATGCATGTGAGTGTAGAAAGCTGAACAAATTATGGGCCTTTGTTTAAAGAAGTTTACAGTCTTAATGGGAAAAAAATAAGAAAGTATATACCAACTAAAGCACAGGTAGAATATATTAGTGTTATAATAGTATAACCTGTTATTAGCCCCTGATTATTATAAATAAAACTGAATTAATCTTTCAATTTATTCAGTAAAATCTGTTAAAACTTTAGTTGGGAAGGTATATAAAAAGCAGACTTGATAAGCATTGACCGTTCAAGCACTGTCCTGTCCAAAAGTGATGGTGCAATGACATATGATTATCAGTTCAGTTGTCAGGACTATTCTATGGAGATGAATGCATCACATTATTTTGATCTGTTATCATTAAATAGTCAGATCATAGGATTAAAATCCTTATTTTCTACATTTACTAAGAGGGTTTTTATTATAAATTGTCTTACCAACTAGTTTGTCTTTAAAGAAAGGATATAATGGCCCAGAGACATAAGCCTTAGTCACTTTAGCAGTTAATTAAAGACTTGACCTTTTATACAGTGTTAGACCCTGTGAATTTAGTTAATATGTGTTTCCACCAAGGCTGGCAATTCAAACTACTGCTTCTTCATGGCTGACTAATGCCTAATACGACGAGAAGGATCCACTCTTCTATGTGTGTCCACCTGCGTGGATTTTCACACACTCCGCCTCTTTCTATGCAGTGCCTCTCAATAAAGTGCCATGGTGACAAACAAATAGCAGTAATGTTTTATTTATTTGCACTAAAACACACATTTATATAAGGGGAATTTGATGTAATTCTTAAACTCAGGTTGAGATTTCAGTGTGAGATGAGGGCATATCAGACCGAGAATACCAGTATTAGTCTTATTTCCCAGTATTAATATAAAGGTACATAAGCAAATGTATTTAGATTGGAAAGTAGAGAAGCAGAAGGAAGATGATGTCTATACTTAACAGGTGGAAGCAGATGGAAACTCAGTGGTGTTGACTCCAACTAGAAAATTGGGTGTTTCTGGGAACTGTCAGAAATAGACAACTCTGACCAGTTGTAATTATGTAGGAGCAAAGGGAGAGAGGGAATGGAGAAAGAAAAATGCAGAAAAGAGATTGTTTTTTATTGGAAGAATCAGCTAGGGTGTATTCAGTTTTAAGCACAAACGCAAAGTTAATTTCACTTTTCTACTGATTTCACAAACTTACTCTTGGTGGCAGAAAGACTCATTCACAACTGTGGTATTTGGAAAACATACTAACGATTATATAAAAAGTTACTGATTTTTAAACTCTATCACTTTATGCATATGGAATTCACAAGAATAGAAAGCCTTAATTATAAGTTTATTTACTTGTCTTAGATATTTAATTTCTAAATCTCACTGATGGTTATAAGAATCTCATTTCAATTTATTTTTGTTAATGGTACTAAATTTATCATGATTAAAATAAAAATATCAGATTTTACATAATCAATTTAGGAATTATTCTAAAAGTAGCTAATCTTTTTATCATAAAGTTTAAATATGAAAGTAATAGAGAATTTATTTTATAAATTATGCTATAGAAATTAAATTGGTGTGAATACACATTTTCAGATTAAATATTAGCAATTTTCTCAATTATATTACTGTCTTAATGAAGAAAATAAACATGAACTAAAAAAAAGTCATACATATTTTTAAATGTTTTTCAAGCAAAAACAAAGTATTTATTTTTTCCTCCCAGATGCAGGATCCGGATCTGGAGATGGAGGTAAGAATTGCCTTTTTATATATTTGAAGCTTATATGTGAATATTATTTGTGCATATTTATGTATATATTTGCCATCATAGATATCTGAATAAAATTTCCATGTTGCATTTCAGGAAAGAGAAAAACAAAAAATAAAATTCTCTTTATTAAATAAACGTATATATTGCAAATTATTTGATATGTTTATGAATTGTACTTAAAAATTCTGTTTCCATCTAATCCTCATTGTTTATTTATTTGTTTGAGTCTGAGTTGTCTTTGAGATAGGTATGCATGTCAAAACTCCTTAAAAGAAGATTTCAAGCGTATTTGACAGGGCAAAAAGAACTCATGAAAAAATCATTTAAATACTGTTGTGGTGTTTTTTATAATATTGCTATTAACTACCAGGTATTAATATTAACACATACATAACTATCTTATAAACAGGCTCTAAATTATTAAATTAATAATTTGAAACTGAAGGAAATTGAGCTTATAAAAAGAAAGTAAGAAAATGTAAACAAAATTTAGAGCAATGAAAATAGGATAGTGTCTTTACTTCTTTGATTAAATTAATCTATACTTATTTTTACTAAAATAAGATATGTATATATTTTGGTTATTTAATAATTGTGTGTTTAAGGAAATATATAAGGTAAGAGAGAGCCAGAAACTTAAATTTGATTGGATGTACTTACTGACAAGATTTTATTTTATTTTATTTAGGGTTGAATCTTCACTGTAAATTTCCCAAATGCTTTTTCAGTTGAAATCAAACAAAATTCAAACTTTAAGCCTAAGAAGAAAAAAGAACTAGATATAATTTCAACAGGAACAATAAGGAGATAAAGAATAAAAACATAAATATTCCCAAGGCTTTGCTTAAGTAGTATAAAATGATTAAACATGTGATTCCAAGTGAATTATAGTTTTTAAATGCAGAGTTTGGTAACATAAAGAACAGAAGGCCTTGGGTTCAGGAAAGACAGATCTCTACTGCATACCTTCTCTAATTCAAGCAACGCATTAAAAATTATCAAGTAGCCTTATGTAATGAAAGGCTTAAATATAGTTCAGATAAGCAATACCCAGAGAACACAATTAGAGCAGCATATTAGAGCGCACTTTTTTCTCATGAAGATTAAAACTGTACAAGAGTCAAGATTTAGTATCATGAGAGCATAAAATGTATTTAATATTACATGACCTTGGACAGTCCTTTGATGTTAGGATAGTCTTTCACTACTTCTAAGAAATTAAGTTCTGTCTTTTTCCCCCTCCTCTGGCTGATTAATATAGTATTTCTAAGAAAGTTTTCTTAGCAGTTTGAAAAGAAGAGCTTAGAAGAGCAAATTAAATCTTAAAGAAATGGAAGAAGGAAAAAGGTAATTTCTGGAGTAGATGTTTCACTATCGGAATGTTAAGAAACTAATCAATTTTAGCCTCTGCTGGTTTGGCTCAGTGGTTGGAGCGTTGGCCTGCAGACCAGAGAGTACTGGATTTGGTTCCTGCTAGGAGCATGTACCAAAAAAAAAAAAAAAATTAAACAATTTTAGAACTATTGATTTTGTAAGGAAATAATGTCTATGAAAATGTCTTTTTATTTCCCAGCTATTTAGTCTTATGTATAGACTACCTAATTTTGCTAATACTGCATTGAGCTTCAATATTCTGCTTTTCATGAAACATGTCTTATTAATGTTTCAAATCTTGTTAATTTTTTAGCATTTTTGAAAACATAGCAAAACATTGCACAATACAGAATATCTTCATTGTTCTTTCTATTAAAACATCATGACATACTCTTTTCTGTTCGAGTCTCCTATCCTATCATACATCATTTTAAAATCTTTATTTATTTTTTTAACAATAAGATGGTTTGTGCTTGGTTTCCAGTTTTCATTGTAATTAGCCCATACAAGTGAAAGTAAAGTCAACCTCACTCTTCCTTGTTGCATTTTATATTGAAATATTTGATTCATTATGCTTTCCTGTCATCTGAATAAGGTAATTTTGTTTAGGAAATAAATTTAATCTCATGAATGCCATGTTTATACTTAAATTTTATGCATTAGTTGGAAATACTTCCTTTTCCTTATTTTCTTCTCCTTTTGCTCTTTTTTACTCTCCCTTTCAATTATATGTGCTTTATAATAACTTGGAGGGGGGCAACTTCTTAAGAGATAATTGCTTTAGAAAAAAAAGCATATTGCCCATTTACTTCTGAATTATGTGTTTTTAAAATAGTTGCTCAGAAAATTGTTGTAATGATTATTTGCACCTAGTGGCAAGAACTATTTTTTAAATAAGAGATGAATAGTTTTATTTTAACTGAGTTACTTTCTTTTTCTTTTTCTCTTTGTGTTACTTTGCTCTGAAATACTAATGGAATTTCATTTTTGTTAATTTTTTTACTACATTATAAGATGCCCGAAAAGCTTAATAACTTAAACCTAAAAAAAAAAAAAACAAGGTTAGAATGACCTACACAATTCCAGTTCACATATACATTTGATTGTACATGAAATATACTTGACTCACTACCTCTGTTACACAGAGAATGTACTTGCCTTTGTATTCTGACAGAGCTCCTGTCTCCAAGGTATCAGAGGAACCAGAATTAACCAGAAGTGATTGAATTGGTTAATTTAATCACTGGGATTAGTTAATCCCACAATCCTAGCTAATGATTGTTCTAACTGATCTCTATGGTATATATTCTCAATAACGTGTATGTAATTAATAACTAGTTGCAATGGTTAATGGTTATATTTTTAATTTATTTTAACAAAAGTTGATATAATTTCCAACTAGAGTGCATTGATCTAAATACAGTACTGGAGAGAACAAATTTATTTGTAAAACTCTCATATATGTGACTATCATAAATGATATTATTAAACCTCCACATCCAAAATCTCTTCAAAACATATCAATTTTTAGTTTTTTAGATTGTTTTATATTTTTAAATTAAGGAATGTTGCATTAGCAATGAAGATTAGATCTGATTATTTAAAAAATAATTTAAGCTTAACTTATTTGCTCAAGAGCATACCTGTCATTTATTGCATTTGAGGGAACATTTTTACTACAATATAAAAGGGGTATAAAGGTTTCATAAAATTTATATTAACTTGTTAGTATACATTTTATAGGATGTTGTAAAATCTTTAACTGTTTATATCTTTATTCAGATGAAACAATTTGAAGGGCTAACTTTATTTAAGTAAAACATGTTCACTGTGTCTCCATCATGATCTGCAGATGTATATTCATTCACAAAGGTCATCTGTAGAGGAATAAGAGACAAATATTGATAAAAATCTTGGATAAGATTTCGGTGATTGCATCCTTTTAAAGTGCTTAAGAAAACTCATCAATACAAAATAATTCATATAATTTGTTTTGAACCTAATAGCTGCTATTTATGGAATTCTGTTTAAAAAAAAAAATGTTTAGTTGGAAAGGCAGCTATCTATAGTAAATACTCTTCTTGGGTAGACTGAAAGTTGAAAACAAATTAGGATAAACTGTAATTAACTATATATACGTTGTATAGAAAGGTAATGTGTGATAATGTGTGGGCCAAACTTCAAAAATTTCAGAAAGTAGTTGAAAGAAAGGGGTTGGTGCCTCGTGTACTCATATATATGGAGATTTAATGTTGTAAATACGAAAAAGGGTGTGTGTAGGAGGGATAATAACATCTTATCCACCTACAGACTTCCTTAAGTAACAAATACTGCAGTAAGAAAAAAAGTAGTAAAGAAGCCTCCTCTCAAAATCTATGGGTGTGTGGGTGGTAAAAGGATAATTTTTAACCCCAGCTTTTCTCTCAAAGTCTTTCAGTCATCAAGACAAGTCCATGAAGACTTTTTATTACTCTCTTTTAAAACTATTTCTGGATTGATTAGACTTTTGATAGATTAGATTCCTAAAAACAAAGTGTAAGTCCAGTAAAATGAAAACTATATGTTAACTTTAAAATAATGATAAATATATTGTCCTGCTAAAGGTCTGGAGGAATTCACAATTAAATTTTAATATATCATCATATGGGAAGTTCTGTGATAATGTCTATAGAAATACATTGTTTGTCCAAGATACATGTCATAGATAAATGAGTATATTTTTATTTCATAAGGTAAAATGTAGCACTGTGCTTATTTATACAACTTATATACTTATGTAATTTTAAGATAATTCTTTAATAGTATAATGTCAGATATGTACAGCAATAAATCAAATTGAATTTATGCCCATTATTTGTAAAAAAAAAAAAAAAAAAAAGCTTTATTTTTATTTTAATTATCCAGGTAATTGTTGTTATGATAACTTTGGTGTAGGAAACCAGTCATATGTTTCTATTTAATGCACAAGTGTTCTGTATAATTTTTCTTTATATAGTATTACTCAGATATCCATAATTAAGATGTTTACTTCACATACATTTTGGATAGAACAAGAAATGTTTACATTGAAACAAATTTTAAACCTTGGGCTGCCATTGTTGATTATGTGGATTGATAAAAGCAGTATTTTAAGAATTTTGAGAACTTCAAAAATATTTTCTTAAAATCCTTATGTTTCTAATGTGGATTTAATGATATTCAGGAATTCGGTCAAATTTAACAAGCGTAATATAACCTGGGTATTGTGGCAAGATTTCTGGAGCTGTAAAGATGAATATGACATTTTTTTACACTCAAAGAGATTATATGTAAATTCTCTTCTTAGCACACGATGGGAAAATTATGATTCTAATTATCAAAAGAAAAGCAATTCCCTCCAGAAGTAACATTTTGAGTATACTGTAAATAAGAAAGAACTGTATATTAATTTTATAAAATGTTCTTATATAAGGCTAAGATTAATTTTTGTTCCATGTTGCTAGATTCAGTTCTTTTCCTGACCTCACTTTGTATCTTCTTTACTTTACTGTTATGGTCAAGTTCTGGCAAACACAATATGTTCACATTACAACCCAAGTCTGACTGGAGTCAACTGAAGGCAGCTT